GCAGTAGAAGCAGCTGTATTTCTGTTACATTGTCCTGTGCATTCTGTTGCCCTTCTCTCTCTCCCTTACTCTCAAAGCAGACTTTGGACACATGTCGGACTTTGCTCCCGACTTCTCCCGACCCCACCGGGTTCGGAGCTGAACAAAAAAGTAGTTAGTACTTGAGCTGAGACCTGAACTTGTATAAAGCATAAAGAAAAAGCTGGAAAAACAACGCAGACCTTTGAGTCATGCAATAATCTAAACGGAAAAGACATGAATTGACGTTTTAACAATCAAGAACACATTTCGTCCTTGCAGAGGAATGTTACGTCACACTGGTTTCTTCTGAAGCTAAAGCGTTTTCGTGACATAGCACTTAATTAGAGAAAAATACAGTTGTAACCTTTATGCCGAAATTAATCCCGTTCTCAACATCAACTTAGTTCTTGACGGCACGCACTAAAAATAAACACTCCCACCATCCAACCCCCTCAACTTTCCTAGAGACTGTTTCTAGCCTCGTTATGAGGTCGCTCCTCTTTCTATCTCAGGAACGAGGACATTAGAAGACTGCTCCTTTTTTCAGTTTATTTTGATTTTAATAAATAAAAATTGAAAATGGCTTTAATTGCAAGTAGACAAATTCCCATCACGGCATTGAAGTAACACAGAACGAACAAAAGATCCTAACAAGAGAGACCGTGAAAAACAAAACTTAATATCTGTACAACAGCATCGAAATAAAAGAAAATTTAAAAATGAGGAGTATTTACGATTTCGACAGATATAGAACGATGAAAGGATGTTTTTACAAGAAAAACGTCATGGTTATTTACAGGAAAATAATTATTGTAAAATTACATCTTCAGAGTATTCTTAAATAAGACGTCGCAGACACCAGTTTCCAAAAGGCAGCCATAAGCAGCTAGTTCCTTGATCATTCCTACCCATTAAACCAGTAACGGTGATGTGAATTTAAAAAAAAATTCTGTTTCTATTAAAAAGGAGCTTCATTCGTTTAAATACAACCATCTCTCTCTTTTTTTTTTTTTTTTTTTTCAAATTTCCACACTTACAATTTACTCTAAGCTTTGACGGACATTGCGCTACCTACCGAAATAAAGAGGCAGGGTCGAACTCGAACTCGCAGCCATACTCGTCATGTAATATAAAGATCTCTAATGAATGGCTGGAATTATCGTGAGATAGCTCCAACGAAATCTCTCTGTGACTTGCTCTTAAACAACCCCTTCGGGAAGCCGCGCAATTCTCTGATAAATCTGCGCATTTTGATGCGACGATTTTTCTGTCCTAAATTCCATCGACGAATCTTGCGCAAAATCGTCAGCAATAGTGTCTTCGTGGTTATTTGCAGACTGCAAGCCGCATCCATTTGTAATATTTTCATCCATTGGTTCTATAGGAGTTTTTCGAACACGGCCGTTCTGTCTGTGTTCGGACAATTTCCCCGCGTTACTTACACGACCATTAGAGTTAGGATCCCTAGAAGTAAAATCACCATTTCTTGATATCTGAATAAAACTCGAGTCTACTGAAGCCTCACTGTCTTGAAGATAAATTTCATCAGATCCCTTTTTCCGTCCGTAATCATAGGAGTCTAAGTTTCCAGCTGGTTCCTCTTCAGCAATGCTTTCCAGGTTTGCAGAGTTTAGCTTTTCTATATCTGTTTCCCCCTGCTCCGATTGCAGCCGGTCTCTCAGCAAATTCATACCCCCCTCGGAAGGGCCTGGAAAAGAGGTAGGCCTTGGCGTCGAATCCGATAGCAAATTTGGAAGACTACAACTGCGTTGGTCAACCCGAAGGTGACCGTTACCGGCCAGAAGTGGTAAAGCTGCATGAGCAGCGCGTAAAATGCCTCTGTCCAATCGAACACTCTCTGCGAATTCATCAATTGCGCTGTCGTATGACGTAACAGAAATCACGCTCTCCTCTGGGTAACAATGACTCGCTCGTCCCAGGCTTAGCCGCGCTGAATACTTCATTTGGGGTTTCTTTTTTTGGCGGACTGTTGAGTGAACCATTGCAAATTATGTTTGAGACTGTAGAATTAAGTACAATGAAGGAATGAGGAGAGATTTCTGTAAGAGGTATGTAAAGAGGAATGGTAGAAAGAGGGAGAAAAATTCCAATTTCATTGTGTTGACATTCTTTACAAATCAACTTCTGAAAATTTTTAAGCACTTACAATGCTGCGCTAATCCACCTCCAAAATTTCGATAGGCTTTTACTGCTACGCCAAATATTGTTGAAGCAACTACAAGATTCATGGCTCCTGGAAAACAAAACAAAAGGTTGATGGAAATTAACGGTTGGTTCAGGTGTCAGCGTGTGCTCCTTGAAATATGAAGAAAGCGGGAAGTTTGGGAAGAACTATAGATGCGTAAGAGTTGCACAAGGCAAAACTGAGAACAATTCAAGCTTCGTGAGTCTTGAGTTAATGCATGATGGTGGAATGCTTATCGTTGGATTCTAGCGGCATCCACGGCTGACGCATGGACCAATTGCTTCATTACTTTTTAATGCAGAAGTTTAAATGTTTTATAACATTACATGGAGGAAAAAAATACTTAAATGCTGATTGGATGTGAAAGAAGGCTGTAGTGGATTGCTTAAGTCGAAGGCCGAAGCTGATAACCCTTATCGCGACCTTGATTGTTCTAGATATCGCACAAACCTATTCTAATAATTGTTTTATTATACAATGAACGGAAATAAAGTGGTCACGACAGGAAGTGGAATTGATAATTTATTTCTTAACGTGTAAAAATATACAAGCAACACAAATCGCGCGAAATTGATTACCCTTTGAAATCATGCACTGCGGTCATACATGACATGATTACCCGTGACCTTGAGTGACCTTGAAATGATTATTGTATAATCTGCAGCTAGATGACGTCCCAGGCACTGATTTCGAAAATTCACTGTACGCTTTAGACCATTCAGGAAAGAGATAGTGAGTTGAATGAATATTAACAATCCCTAATTCCAATTCGCCCATACGATTATCAGTCTAAACAAATAAAGAGAAAATTTCCTCTACAGGGTATATATACCTCATAAGAGTGCACGTAGGAATATGAGGCACGCTCGTGCAAATGAATTTGACAATACGAAATTGCAAACTGTGCCATAAAAACTAATATATATTTCCCCGCCCGTCCCAAGGGCACAACGCCTTGCCCCGACCAGGACTAGAACCAGGGTCGTCCGACTCGGAGCCCAGTGCACTGACCACTGGACTACTGGACAAAGCCGTGGCGTTGGCGTGCCCGCGGTACAGTTGACCACGCATGTTAAAAGTAGCAAAAAATACGGTCGGTCGTACGGTCGTACGGTCATGAGTCCAAATTTTTTCGGCTTGATGGGTTCGGCTCCGCTATTATTCCAGTATACCAAATGATAGGATTTGAACTTGCATTCATGTATAAAACCTACCTAAGTATACAAAATGCATAAAGGCCTCGTCAGGGATGTCTTTTCCATCAATTTCAAACTCTGGACAGCCATTGCAAGTGCGAGTAACAAACCTGCAGGGATCAAGAATTACAAGCAAAGCATGAATTTTATACCCCATTTGGCTCACTATCACTGCCTCACTAGATTACAATTTGACCTCAAGTCTGGCATGTAATTCAAATTCATTTAATGTAGTTTTAAAGAACCGCTCAACAACAAAAGAAAATTGATTCCATTTGGCAGCAGCAATTCTATCAGGTGGCTCTTTGTCCACTGCTTTCCAGATCAAAATGAAATGGGAAATTGAGAGCTGAGAGAAAAAAAACCCTAAAAACAACGATGAGAACCAATATAAACCTCAACCACAGGCTATCTCCAGTATTCCCAGACTTTTTGGCATTTGGAGTGTTGAGTTTGTTGGTGGAGGAAAACAAGAGAACCAGATAAAAAAAAAAAAACCTTGGGGCAAGAATGCAAACCAACATTATGTGATTCCAGGTTTGGGAATGAAACCCCAATCACAGTGGTGTTAAGTAAGCACTCTCATCCCTGCACCATCCACCATTCCCATACTTACCCATAAAGTTTATACAAAAAGTAACCAATCCCACCCAATGTCCAAGTCAGGAAAAATAGCATAAGCACTCTGTTCTCATGGCGTACCTGTTAACAAAAAAACAAGTTAGAGTACATCAACCTAAATATACTTCAACAAATAATTCATGTGAATGTCATCAACACTTGAAAAGAATGATCTTCAGGAAGAACTATAATGCAAAAAAAAACAAAAAAGGTTCCCCTTCTTGTATGTGGGACAAGTGTGGGACAGAGACAAAATCTGAGTTCTTGCAAGAATCTTAATCTAGACTTTCAAAGTCCATACTCTGATGCTCTACCACAGAACTTAATCCTATGACCCCTAAGGGTGATTACCATCTAATTCTCCTTACAATAGGAAATGATCACCAATTAAAGAGGCTCTTGATTGATAAGCAAATTCTCCTTGTCGGTACCTTGGGAAATGTACAGAGAACAGTATGGAGAATATGCATACTGATGATAGGGTGTAAAGGGTTAAAGAAATACAAAAATGTAAGAAATATGTAATCCTTCTAGTCTTGAGTGTGGAACAAAGAAAAAAAATCTGATTCCCAATAACGAATCCTGCCAATGAACTTCAGATCCAGTGCTCTTAGATACTCCGTCACAAAATGAACTTCAGAGAGTTCTATGATGAGGTAGGCTGTTACTAGATTTATATGTGATATATAACATTGTATTTCACTCACCGCGTAATAACCTATACCAGCATATATAAATGTTAATGGTATAAATGTCATGCTAATAACATAGAGGATGTTATGTGAGTCACGCAATAGAACCAGACTGTGAACAATGGCAAACATTCCCTATTTAAAGGAAAAAAGAGATAAATGTTGAATCGTTATAATGCAGGCCAAGGATCCTCTTTAACACATTTTACAGGTAAGTTGTAGTACATGCAAGGCAAGTGTGAGGAGATCACAAAGTGTGAGGCGTGAAGGTAGGGAGGAAGTCTGCTAAAAAAAGTAATGTCATCTTTGTCCGTCTCTTCTTGATTTCTTATCAAATTCTCAGATCTAAAATAATTAGAAAGATATGGCTGGTCATGTGGAGAATTGATACCTACATCTAGGAAGTGAAAGGGTTTAGACTCACTCACCCAATACAAAACCTCCATTTTCAAAAGGCAAGATAACACTTCATAGATTTGATAAATTCCTGTTCAAATAGAAAAGCATTCATAAAATAGAGTTCAACACAAAGAGAATTGAAGAGGATTAAAGTATAGAACCGAAACAGGAAGACACAATTTCTCGTGGGTTGCTACTGGAACCATTGAAAAAAAGATTACAAATATTTAGTAGTGGTTGTAGAAGGTAAAGTCAGTCTGTAAGCCTCAATGGCTATCTGGCCATGATTATCTTGGTTTCCCTAACGTAATGTGAAAGGGAGTATTATTACTCTTAACCCTCCCCCCATAGGATGCTCATCCTAGGCAGGTTACCTCCCCTCCCCTCCCCCCCTTTATATTTCATCACGAATTCCTTCATACACTTCTCTTGAACCAATTTACATTCCTGGGTGGAGAGAGGCACTGTGAGAGTTAACCCTTTAACTCCCAGATAAAACTTTTAATTCTCCTTTCTGTCAACCATGCAATTCTTATCAT